TCACAATGTTGTGTACTGAATATTCCTTATAGTTGATTACAAAACATGAACCACTGATCTGACATCTCAAAATAACTTTTTGAGTCCTTTTTTTATGTCTTATGTTTCCCTGCCAATAAAGTAATTTGGGGAGTTTTGCCTTAGGAAAATCCAGATTGTTCCACAATATTATAGACCCACAAAATAATATCATACAAAATATATGTGACATGGGAAAGCAAAGGATGAATCAGAGGCTGTGAAAGGATTCTCCCATTTTTCAGAACAATCCACTCTTGCTTCTTTAGCAGGAAAAGATTCAAAGTACTACTGCAGTTCTGTCATAACCAGAACTGTATGAAGTTAATCAGTTAACCTCCAACTATCAAAGTAAAATTGTTGGGCCTGGTTATTCACCGATTGTGGATTTTCTCATTTGTGCCCACTGCCCAACTCTGTTTTTGGGCTGATACCACCGGTGAGCAAAGAAACTAAAAAAATATTTGACCAGTGACTCTGGGAGATTTTACTCAAAAGGGTACGGTCAGAAAATCTACCTCTAGCTCTCCTTGTACTGATACCTTACAGCTATCCTAACAGGTTATGCACTTGCTGAAGTTCTTCACGTAAAGTTGTTTCTGGTGCAACTGGTTATTTTTTTGACGTTTAACTCAGCCTACCTTCTATGGAATGGATTATTAATCAGTCAATAAAACAAATATGGGAAAGGAAAGGAATAAATGATTACTTACAGTCTTCTCTTTGCTTTCTTTTGGCAGTAAGCTGAACCTTCTGAGCGTCCGTCTTCCAGCAGCTGTTTCTAAATGACTAATGTTCCAAGATCAGGAAAGGGTTATCTCTGAAAATGCAAATGTTTTATTCTGATGGGAGGAAGTAAATAACGTATTATCAGTAATGACCGATACCTCCCTGCAAGTGCACGCAAGCAGCTTGTCTCTCCAAGGAGCGGGATTACAATGTTGAATTTCTCTGCCTCCTTCTCCTCCTCCTTGTATCTTCTCTAATTCTACTGCTTTGGGGCAGAAAAGTTGCTTTTCTCCAAGTGTTAAGCCACCCCCCTGAAGTGTCTACGCCACGCCACGCCACGCCACGCCACGCCACGCCACGCTCAGCACAGTGTCTGTCTCCCCTT